CCAGGGACAGATAAATATTAATTTTCTAAATTTTGGGGGGGGCCTGTGGGCCGGATAGAATGGCCTGGCACATTTTGCCCACCCCTGCTCTAGACAATGCTGTCACTGCCGCAAGATCCTTGCCCTGGAGCAACTTCCCACCCAGCCACACACCCTACTGGCACTGCTGGGGCCAACCGCCATGGAAACCGTGGCCTTACACTGTCAAGGTCCTGCTGCTGTTTCTCCATGGAAACCAGCCACAGCAATACCGGCAAGGGCTGCTGGGAAATGGCGTCTAGCCTCTGGCTGGATCTGCCATTTTGCCCACCCTTGAACTAGTGACTCTCTACCATTTATCTGTAGGAACAAAGGTGTAGCAAGGCATACCTTAGAGTACACATTCATGTCTCCATGCAGGACAGAGTAGTTTGAAGCACTGACTGGAATAAATGAAAAAAGTGAACAGGTGCAATAAAGACTGTGTGCGTCTGTTCCAGGGGGCTATTTTAGGAGCAGTGGGTTAAAGGCAACACTAGAAACACTACATTGTTTGTGGCAAGTACTGCCTCTGGACACTGGGCAATATGAGAACCTGAGAAAGAACGTTAGAGCGGACAAAGCATCTAGTTGGATCTTTCCATTTTCTACCGATTCATTTTGTTGTTAGAGTCTTTCAGACTTGAGGTCACAAGACTTTTATGCTGAGAATTTTTTCACTCTTTACATTTCTCAGTCCTCCCCCTCCCCCCTTTGCACATACATGCACATATACTTTCAGCAATCCTAGAAAGTATTTTGATTGAAAAATGAGTGACTAAAACTAGTAGGTTAAAATGGAAGCAGTTAATACATCCTAAACTACTGTGGTCATTGCCGCTTATGCAGCAACGTCCAGATTATGTCTCTGAATTGTGATTTAAGGATTAATTTTTGTTTTTCTCCTTTAGCAACTACTGAAACAGCTTCTTCAAAGAAATACAGAGTAACAAAGGATTCTTTTGCTGCTCACACTAACTGGACCTCAAATGACTTTGACTATTAGATAAGCCATAACATTTTATCTTAATTACCTGGATATATTTATCTTACCTTTTACCTCTCTACATAAAGAAAGATAATTTGTGCTTCAGTAGAAAATTCTGAAAGAAACTTGTAGATTATTGGAAAAAAAATCAGAAATTGAGGAAAACTGGTTTGGTATCATCCTATGGTCAGTTTACTCGGGGAAAAAGAGAGTTTGTTTTGCAATATTGGATTACAATGGAATTTATTTTCATATTTTTAAATAGTTTTTTAGCACTAGAACTGGGTTTATAATATCTAGGACACTTATTTCTCCAAAGTATTTTACTCATTGATTCTCTGTGAGTAAAATGATGAAAGTAAAGAAAATTATTTGTTATGTTTAGAAACTAGTTCAGATAGCATTGCTACATAATCCTAGCATCAGAAGTTTTAAAGTAATGATTAATATACCAAAAGGGACCTATATTTTGGTCCTCTAAAATGGTATTTTCCTGTTTATATAGTGAACCTGAATAGCAGGTTCACCTGTTAGGGAGCAATATTTAGAACCTACAATAATAACATTTATTTTACATGTTTTTCACTGTAAAATATAATTTTGCTTGACTTCTGTGAGCATAAGGTGTTTAGGTGATGGCATATTAAGTGGTGCTGACCCATGCAGAGACTTCTACAAAGGAATATGTTTGTATAAAGATTGTATAATTAAAATCCTCTATAATGTTTCATTCAAAAATATTTAAAATTGTATTTGTACATTTTGGAAATAAAAACAACTAGTTTACATACCAAATAGAATAAAATATAATATTAATCTAAATGTTATATTTTTGTGTTATGTTTAATTACAAACCAATAATGTCAAACCATTGTGCAAGTTATACCGTCGTATCAATTAAAAGCCTTCATTTTGCAATAAATCTTGTTTTGAAATACAGTAAAATCCCTGTTATCTGGGCAGAAAATGTGGAGGGGGAGAAGGGCTGGCAGTGGTTGCACGTGGAGTGGGGGGGGCATGGTGGCTGCCACATGTGGAGTGGTGACAGTGCAGGGTAGTGGGTGGTGGCTCCCTACCCCGTCCCTCCCTGTCCGGCTGGCTGTCCATAAATTCTAACTAATAGAGTATTCTGGCTTGTAGAATGCCAGATAACAATGATTTTACTGTAATACTTCCCAACAGGATTATTATAAACATTAATGTCCATAAACATTAATGTCCGTGGTGTTAATGCTGATTTGTCTCTGTGTAAATGAGATCACAACATGGCTTTGCCTTGTATGCTTTATTTTCCTAATTTAGATGAGATTTACAACTGGAGGTTTTACATGAGCAATTATTTATTGACATTGTTTAGCCTGTCTTGATAATCACTTTCTGTGTGGCTTAGAGGACAGAGTACTGCACTTGGCTCAAAAGAGCTCAGTTTGTTCTGATACTGGCTTGCTGGGAGAATGAGAGTGAGATGGCTTTGTGAAGCACATCGAGCTGTATTGGTGAAAAGTGCTACACCATATCTAGATATGATTTCCCAATTAGTTTAATAGATGTCAGGAAGACTGTGTGTGAAGTAAGGTATTATACTGTGGCCATGTCTACATGTGTGTTTAACTGTGAAGTAGACTAATTAGCTGTGGAGTAAAGTGTCAATGTCTACACCTGTGATGCTATTAGGCCATAGGAAACTAATAAGCACTGTCATAAGATGTCAGGAACAGTAACATCTTATGGTAGAGTAATTAACTGTGATTAAATGTACATGTAGACGTTGACCACAGGCATAAATTGTGCCCAGTCAACCAAGCCAGCAGGAGGCCAGACTCCTGCCAGCCGCCTAGCCACATG